GCCAGGTACCCTCCATGGTCCTGCCCCAATGCCCTAAAACCCCTCCAGGTACCCTCCATGGTCCTGCCCCAATGCCCTAAAACCCCTCCAGGTACCCTCACCGTGCTGCAGTGGTTGATGAATTATAACTAACATTATTAAACCATCATTTAACCTGGTTTAGCCCAGTTTAAACCAGCTTTATCCCGGTTTATCTCAACGTGCAGCAGTGCTTGATGAATGATAACTAACATTATTAATCAATCATTAAACCATCATTAGCCCAGGTTTAGGCCCGGTTTGCTCACAGTGCAGCAGTGGTTGATGAACGATAACTAACGCCATTAAACCCAGTTTAGCCCCGGTTTAGCCTGGTTTGGCCCGGTTTAGCCCGGTTTCTCTCACCGTGCAGCAGTGGTTGATGAAGCGCGCCAGGTTGCCGCACTTGGTGGCGTCGATGATGGTGTCGTGGTCCACGCGGAACAGGTAACTGCTGCCGATGCCCTCCTGCGCGTAGCGCTTCTCACGCATGTCAGCCACCACCTGGGGACACCGAGGGGACATTGGGGACACCATGGGGACACCCTGAGGGGCTCTGGCGACACTGGGGACACCATGGGGACACCACACGGAACAGGTAACTGCTGCCGATGCCCTCCGGGGCATAGCGCTTCTCGCACACGTCCGCCACCACCTGGGGACACCACGGGGACACTGGGGACACCCTGAGGGGCTCTCAGGGCACTACAGGGACATTGAGGACACTGAGGGGACACTGGGGACACCACGGGGACACCGAGGGGACCCTGGGTGACACGCACCTGTCGGATGTTCTGCCCCACATACTCTATGACCAATGTCTGATCTGGGGACACCGCGGGACTCAGGGGACACGGGGGCGGTCTGGGGACACCGAGGCAGTTTGGGGACACTGGGTGACGCTGGGGGACACGCACCTGGCGGATGTTCTGCCCCACGTACTCAATCACCATCTCGTCGGCCGCGATCGGCTCCATGGCGAACAGGCCCCACTCGTGGATGCGGCTGCGGCCGAAGCGGAGCCGCTTCTTGCGGAACTGCGGGGACACAGGGACACAGAGGTGTGTCACCAGGGT